CTGCACTGTCACATGGAAGCAGAAGGAGTTGCTGGAAGAACCATGTATTTCTCTTCCATTCTGACAGCCAAAAATAGCAGTTGGGGTGAGGTCAGCAATAAGAAGAACCTGTCAGTTTGCCCTTTCTATGTAAAGCACAGATTCGCTTAAAAGTATAATGTAGAAATCATCACATACATTTGAGATGAAAAATACTGATGATTGCCTCAATAAGATAAAGTCAGCAGTTATGACTTATTATCTTGTAACAATATACTTGAACAAAGGACACAGTTTGAAGATTAAGATTTTCATGATCCGAAACCAGAATCTAATTATGATTTGATGAGTTTTTGGAGGAAATCCCTCACAGCTCCTGGGGAATATCAGTAAAGGGCTCAAAAGACAATGAACTTGTACATGTTCTAAATTTGTTTTATTTGAATTGGTTACATTTATCTTTAAATATTTTTATTGAAAAATTGGTATACACAGAAATAGAAACATTGCCCACCTACATGGTGAGATGGGGTGGATAAACATATTCATAAAATATATAGGCATGTGAAAAAACATTGGTCGATGATGTTGTAAACAGGAAACACCATCCCCACAGGGTAGCAAATGTTCCATCAGTCTGTAAACATGGTAAATATCTATATGGAACTGCCTAACAATAAGAAAACAAAAAAAAAGATTAAAAATAGAAGAATCTAAAGAAAAGATCCAGGATAGGTTAGAAAAGAAGGGGGGAGAAGGGGAGAGAAAAAAAAGGGGGAAAAGAAAAGGAAAAAGGGAGAGAGAGGGTCAGCCATAGTACTATTAAGTAATAGAGATGTATCTGATCCATGGTTCCCACATCACCTCAAATTTAGAAGTATCATTATTGACAATGCTCGTAAGTTTATTATTTATCATTATCCAATTAGGTTTTGTTTAACCCCATCTAGTGGAATTAATGATTGTCTCCAACATCTAGCTATGGTAATACATGCTGCCAGTAAGAGGTAAAGAATGAATTTAGTCGATTTTTTGGGAATGTCAGCGGGCAGCAAATGAAATAAAGCTACTACCGGTGATCTTCTAATATTAATTCCTGTTACTGAATAAATGAATTTTTAAACATTTGGATCCAAAATCTATTCACTACCAGACATTTCCACCAGATATGGAGCATAGTGCCCTCTTGTCCGCAGTGTTGGAAGCAATTAGATGATACTGATGGATACATTTTAGCAAGCCGTGTAGGAACTAGATGCCAGCGAAGTAGTGTTTTGTAATTGGATTCGATAAGAGCAGTATTAATTGAAATCTTTGCTAGAGTATGGGCCTCATTCCGCCAAATGTCCAGGTCCAGTGAGCTATTCAAATCCCTTTCCCATTGAGTCATAAAAGATAATTTAGTGAGTGGATCAACAAGGGAAGCATAGATAATGGACAAATGACCCTTCATCATCTCAGTTGCCCCATAGGAGATCTTTAGAGGAATGAGTGTGCAAGGTTCTATGAGTAATTTGAGTTGAGGAGAGTTGAATAATAAACCCCCTAACCGAGGCCATATGGGCTGCTAAATTAATAGCCCGATTTGTATCCTCTGCTTTATTGAGTTCAAAGTATGTTTGTCGATGTGAGGAGATGTCCTGACAATATGAGGCGTTACCCAAAATAGATTCGTTAAGGCATCTGTATTAAGCAGTCTGCTCAAGAAAGCACATGTCAGGCCCGTCTGAAGTTTGCCACTGAACATCTGAATGATGCAGAGGAGGACTGGTTGAAAGTGTTGTGGTCAGATGAGACCAATATCGAGCTCTTTGGCATCAACTCACCGTGTTTGGAGGAAGAATGCTGCCTATGACCCAAAGAACACCATTCCAACTGTCAAACATGGTGGTGGAAACATTCTACTTTGGGGGTGTTTTTCTGCTAAAGGGATAGGACAACTGTACCGCATTAAAGGGATGATGGGCGGGGCAATGTACTGTCAAATCTTGGGTGAGAACCTTCTTCCCTCAGCCAGGGCATTGAAAATGGGTTGTGGATGGGTGTTCCAACATGACATTGACCCAAAACACGCGACCAAGGCAACAAAGGAGTGGCTCAAAAAGAAGCACATTAAGGTCCTGGAGTGGCCTAGCCAGTCTCCAGACCTTAATCCAATTGAAAATCTGCAGAGGGAGCTGAAAGTTTGAGTTGCCAAATGTCAGCCACCAAACCTTAATGGCTTGGAGAGGATCTGCCAAGAGGAGTGGGCCAAAATCCCTCCTGAGATGTGTGCAAACCTGGTGGTCAACTACAGGAAACGTCTGACCTCTGTGATTGCCAACAAGGGACTTGCCACAAAGTACTAAGTCATGTTTTGTGATGGGGATCAAATACTTATTTCCCTCATGAACATGCAAATCAGTGCATAATTTGTTAGACATGCATTTCGTTTGAATTTTTTGTTGCTATTCTGTCTCTCAGTGTTACAATACACCTACCATTCGCTTTTTAGACTGATCATTTCTTTGTGAGTGGGCAAACATTCAAAATCATCAGGGGATCAAATACTTATTTCCTTCATTGTATATGTGTTATCATTTACATTTTAATTGTTGGGATTGTTTACAAAGGGGTATTAATGTACCTTTCTACTCTTTCCTATGGGAGGGAGAATATCTGGGAGCCCCTGTATTATAAATGATGCTTCCAGATTCCATTTGAAGTTCCCCATACTCCCCATATCCTTTTGGGGGAACATAAGTGGGGATGAGACCCTTGCCCCTCAATATTGGGACAAGGTGTCTTGCAGGGGGGAACTTAGTTCAAAATGGGTCATTTCTAATTGGGGTTGATTATACTATGTCTACATTTTAAAATTGTTGTATATGATTGTCCATAAGATTATGATTATTATACAGTGCTATTAATTACATATATTGTATCCTAGTCTGTGAATAATAAGATCCAAGGCTCTGAGGAAGTGGTTCTTCCATGAAACGAGTTGGCCATTCTAAATTAGGATCTTATGTCCACATATATCGTTACATTCTAAGTCATATTATTGATTTTAAAAGTCTTTTATAATGTTTGTCGTATGATACATGTATATGATAACAATAATTATATTGCTTTTATGAATTGTTATACTCTTTGATATTATACCCAAAGAGGTACATGCAGAGTCCCTAATCCTAAACACTGTATCCAGGGGGGGAACTTAGTAGCCCTTTCCTTCCAAGCTGCTCTCCTACCTAGTTTTGAAAGGCATGTGGTCTGATCTGGAACAGGAAGGATGCATGCCCACTGCTATTTCATTCCAAGCTACCCAGGCTGAATGTCTGGATAAAAGTGTGTGTGGGGTGTGTGTGTGTGTGTCCCTACTGCTAATGATAAAATGTTTCAAGCATTAACTAACCCCAAAAAACACAAAAAGAAATAAAAGTCTAATGCATTGCAGTTTGCTTTCAGAATGTGCATTGATCAGTGTTGGCTTAGAGACCTAAGAAATTTTCATTTTGTTAGAGTGGTGAGGTTTGGATTTCTGCCTATGCCCTCCTAGGGGGATTTACTCTCTATTTCTCCTGATCATCAATGTCATCAGGAATGAAAGAGAGGTTAAATCCTGAATGTGTGTTTGCCAATAGAACTTGGCTCTTTGCACTTGTTCTAGTGACAACTGTCTAACAAGGGATTTCCCCTGCACTGCATGACCAATTAAGGGGTCCACGAGCTAGCCACAGCCCTGACAAATTTGCCACAGCAAGAGTAAATTAGCCCCAGTTTGTCACTGGGGTACAAACAACCAATACAACTACACTAGAGGAAATGTTTGTGTAGTTTGGATTTTTTTTGCCAATGTAAATTTTTTCATTGTTAGATATAGATGTACACCACTGTTTGGAGAAAAAGAGAATTTTTACGCAATTCTACTATATGATCAAAGCTGAGCACCATCTAATGTTATATAGATCCATCTTACTACTCTATCCTTATTTTCTGTGATGGGTTATTGAGAATATCACTGGTACATCACAGGTAAAAGTTGCATTAGTGTATCTATTGTAAACATGTTTTAGAGTATCTATTCCTATTCGAATAGGATACACTTTTCCACATTGATATGATAATATGCAAATATCTTTGAGCCTGGAGTTGTTTTCTTTCTCGTTTTTTCTGTAAAAATGGGGCAAAACTACCCCTTGTGGATTTGTAGATCCTGTAGAACTATGATACTTTCAGACACTATTTCATTGTTTTCATTTGTTTCTGAAGATAAATGACCTAATGCAATTAGAGATGAGCGAAGTATTCAAAAATTCGATTCGACTGATTCGGCGAATTCGTGGACAATATTCGATTCGAGTCGAATATATTCGCTGTGAATTTAACTTAAAAAAAGGGTGTTTCTAGGCTTCAGAGAGACTTAATATTAGTGCAGAACACTGTACCTTTAATTTAAATGCCCTTGGAGTCTGCTGGGGAAGAGAAATAATACTGTCAGTCAGTATGACATGCAGATGAGTGCTGTCGATCTTAGAATCACCGCACACTTCACTCATTTGGCCAGTCACGGGGCCAAAACCAGTGTTTGGAGCCACAGTGTGGCGGTGGAGGCAGCAGCAATGGGAGGCCATACAGCAACCTATGACAAAATGGAAACCAGCAGGAGTGTGAGGAGACCTCAAAGTGGCACATGGCAGAGTGGGAGCAATGGGAGGCGGTACAGGGACCCATGTCACACTGTGGACCCAGCAGCAGCGTGACGAGGCGGTACGGGGGCCCATGGCAGATTTGGGGCCTGGCAGCACCTATGGGAGGCCTGTAATCTGCCAGCAACCTATGACAAAATGGAAAACAGCAGGAGTGTGAGGAGACCTCAAAGTGGCACATGGCAGAGTGGGAGCAATGGGAGGCCGTACAGGGACCCATGACAGACTCTGGACTTGGCAGCAGCATGAGGAGGCGGTTATAGGGGCCCATGGCAGATTAGGGGCCTGGCAGCAGCTATGGGAGGCCCGTAATCTGCCAGCACCCTATGTCAAAAAATTGAACACACCAGCAGTGTGAGGAGACCTGAAAGTGGCACATGGCAGAGTGTGGCGATGGAGACAGCAGCAATGGGAGGCCGTACAGGGACCCATGAGAGACTCTGGACTTGGCAGCAGCATGAGGAGGCGGTATAGGGGCCCATGGCAGATTAGGGGCCTGGCAGCAGCTATGGGAGGCCCGTAATCTGCCAGCACCCTATGACAAAAAATGGAACACACCAGCAGTGTGAGGAGACCTGAAAGTGGCACATGTTTGGGGCATGATTCATGGCGGATTTAGTCAGTTGTGTCAGGAACTGGTGGTTTGAAATCCAGACTAATCCACGCCTGATTCATTTTCACAAACGTGAGTCTCTCCACACTTTGGGTGGACAGTCGTGTCCTCCGCGGAGTTACAATACCTCCTGCCGCACTAAACACGCGCTCCGATGCCTCTACTGGCCCGGGCATGACAGCCTTTCAAGGGCAAATTCAGCTAGTTGGGGCCAAAGGTCAAGTTTCGTTGCCCAGTAGTCAAGGGGATTGTCTACCTCGGTTGGCAGGGTGCTGTCCAAGTAGGCCTAAGCCTGTTGTTTGAGGTCCTGCTCCAGGTCCACCTGATGCTGCTGCTGCTGCTGCGGCTGGTTAGTAGTTTCCTCACTGCGCTGGTGAAGAAAGCTACTCATCATCGACTGCAGACTGAGGCAGCCGCTGCTGGTGGAGCTGCCACTGCTCCTACCACCCCCACCCTCCCTGCTGCCATGGCAGCGTAACGCGAGCGCACAGGGCCCACACAGTGTCTGAGGATGGACGTTGGCGCAGACAGGCAGAGACCAGCTGACTACATAGGTGGTTTTTATAGTACGTTATTTTGGCCTCCCTCAGCAGGCGTGAAAAAGGCCACCATTTTTGGAACGGGGGTAGCGAGGGTCCAACAAGGTGGACAGCCAAAAGTCATCCCTCTGTCTGATGGTTATTATTCGGGCTGTCGCTACGCAAGCAAGCGAGCATGCTATGGGCCATTTGTGCCAAGGAATGCGAGGGACTCCCTGCCTCCATCTCCACAGCATACTGCCACGGTGCGTCTGGGTCCTCTGTCTCCTCTTCCTCCTCCTCTACCAGATGCTCCTGCTCCTCCACTCCTGTCCGCTTAGTGGAAAAAAAACCCATTTCACTCAATAATTCCTGAGCACCAATGTCCTCCTCTTACCTCCTCCTCTTCTTCCTGTCCTGCCCCCACAGGGGTCATGTGGCGTTGAGATCTGTGCGCCACGTCTACCGCACCCTGACAAGCCATTGTTAACAGCATTTGTTCCAGGACGTGCAAACAGAGGAATGACGTCGTTCATCCCCATAGTCCTGCCGACTCACGAATAGCGTGGCCTCCTCAAAGGGCTGAGCAAGCGCAGGTGTCACGCAAGATGAGCTGCCAATGGCTGACATCTAAGTTACACAGGGAGTACCTACTTTATCCGCTTTTAACATCAGGAAATCTGTGATGGCCTTTTGCTCGTTCGTAAAGGCGGTCTAACATATGTAGGGTTGAATTCCCACTTGTTGCAACGTCACAGCATGAGGAGTCGGTACGGGGGCCCATGGCAGATTACAGGCCTGGCAGCAGCTATGGGAGGCCCGTAATCTGCCCAGCACCCTATGTCAAAAAATTCAACACACCAGCAGTGTGAGGAGGACCTGACAGTGGCACATGGCATGAGACACTGTGGACCTGGCGGCAGCAGCATGAGGAGGCGGTACAGGGGCCCATGGCAGATTAGGGGCCTGGCAGCAGCTATGGGAGGCCCGTAATCTGCCGCACCCTATGTCAAAAAATTCAACACACCAGCAGTGTGAAGAGACCTGAAATGTGGCATCCCATAGTCCTGCCGACTCACGAATAGCGTGGCCTCCTCAAAGGGCCTGAGCAAGCGGCAGGTGTCACGCATGAGCTGCACAGGGCTGACATCAAAGTTACACAGGGGAGTACCTTTATCCGCTTGTAACATCAGGAAATCGGTGATGGCCTTTCGCTGTTCGTAAAGGCGGTCTAACATGTGTAGGGTTGAATTCCACCTTGTTGCAACGTCGCAGATCAGGCGATGCTGTGCAATTCCGTTTCTGCCGCTGCAGCTCAAGGAGGGTGTGCTTTGCGGTGTAGGAATGGCTGAAATGCATGCAAAGTTTACGTGACATTTTAAGGATGTCTTGCAGTGGGATGGTGGATTTTAGGAACCGCTTGACAACCAGATTGAACACGTGAGCCATGCATGGCGCATGGCACAACCTTCCTTGACGCAGAGCAGACACCATGTTCTCTTTCCGTTGTCGGTCAACATGGTTCCGATTTTGAGTTTGCGCGGAGACAGCCATCTGTCGATTTCTCTGTTCATTACACTGAGAAGTTCCTCCCCTGTGTGACTACGTTCGCCAAGGCATACCAGGTGCAGCACAGCGTGACACCGTTGCGCCCTGCACATGTGATATGCCGGTCGGGTAATGGGACTTGGCACGGGGGTGGCGGCTGAGGACACGGCGGAAGAAGAGGTGGTAGAGGCAGACATCTTTGCCGGACCAAGGACGTGCAAACGTGGAGGCAAAAGCGGCGTGACCTGTCCAAGTTGCTGGTGCGGCTGTGACGGCACCCACGTTCACCCAGTGGGCCGTAAATGACATGTACTGTCCCTGACCGTAGTTACAGCTCCACACGTCGGGCGCTGCCGTGCACTTTGGCAGAGACCGACATGCTCAAAGACTGGCCCACCATCTCTTCTACATGTGAATGCAGGGCTGGCACTGCCTTTTTGGCGAAGAAATGACGGCTTGGCACTCTCCACCGCGGCGCGGCTCACAAGCCATCATTTCTCGGAAAGGTGCTGAGTGCCACCACTTGGAAAGGGAGGGACTGCAGCACCAGCAACTTGGACAGGAGCAACTTGGACAGGACTGCCAGCACCAGCAACTTGGACAGCTTTTGCACCGTCGGGTGCGTGCTCGCAAACTGTTGTCTCTTGGAAACGGATTCCAAGAAAGACTGCTGACGGAATCCGTGAAGAGGAGTAGCAGGAGAAGGAGCATCTGAACGAGCGGAAGATGCCAACGAGCGACAACTCCCCTCAGCAGAGGTGTTGGAGCCTCGACTGGCTGATGGAGGGCGATTGACGTCGGGTGACGGAGCAAGTAACGGAGCGGGTGATGGAGCGGGGGCTGGGGCGGGCAGAACCGCCGTATCTTTATCACGGTTTTCCCAGGCCACCAAATGGCGACGCTGCATATGCTGCCGCAACGCTGTAGTCCCAACATGGGCCCCCTGGCCACGCTTGACTTTCTGGCCACATAGTCTCGACATACGGCTACGTTTACTTCCTCGGGGCGGCTTGACGAAAAATTGCCACACCCGCCGAGTAGGAAACTTTGCCCCCGATACTCCTCACTGGCTGACTGCTGCTTCCTCCGTGCACACCGGCACCACTACTGGCCGGGTGGTGGTAGGCTGCAGTGGAGCTGGTGCTCTACTCCGTGGCCGTTTGGCTCCACTGACACTGCTGCGACCCTGCTGCCTCCTGGGCAACCCACCGACTGTTTCGCTCGCTGCCAAGCTGCCACCCTCTTCTCCTGATGATGCGGAAGAAATTGCCTGATGACGACGAGGCTGCCAAGTGCGATCAACCTCCTCATCATCAAGTAGGGTCTCCACCTCACTACTAGCCCCCTCGGCTGCGTCTGGGTCAGGAGACAGACCTGTCTCTAGACCGGCTACCGAGCCACTCTCCTCGCCACTACTTCTTCGGCTTGCTGCTGAAAAGGCGGATGTCTCCCCCCGTTCCTGACCGCCCTCTGTTAGCTCTTCCTCACTGTACAGTGGGGCTGAGCCCACAGCATGCGATACTTCGCTTGGTGAGGGAATACACCAAAGGACAGGGGCAGGTAGAGGACACGTGATTTCAGTGGGCTTGGTACCAGGCCATGCCAACTAACGGTTGTGTCTGACGTACCCACCGACCGTTTGGCTGTAGGTGTCAGAGGTGACCTGGGAAGAGGAAGACGACCGAGCCAACCAATCGATGACGGCAGGGTTGTCGGTGGAGACACGACCGCTGGATGACACCCGGGTAGCACTGGCCTCTGGCTGCGAATACTGCTGCCTCGACCCCTTCATCTGCTGCCACGTCTGCTCGCTCCTAAAACATTGCCTCCTCTGCCACTCCTCTGCATGTTGTCTGACATACTCTTTAATTCAACGATTCTGTGTCCCTGAGTAACAATTCTGTGTCCCTGAGTAACAATTCTGTGGCCCTAAAGTAACGGTTCTGTGGTCCCTCAGTAACAATTCTGTGTCCCTGAGTAACGTTTCTGTGGCCCTAAGTAACGGTTCTGTGGCCCTCAGTAACAATTCTGTGTCCCTCAGTAACAATTCTGTGGTGTCTGTCCGAGTAACAATTCTGTGGCCCTAAGTAACGGTTCTGTGCCCTCAGTAACAATTCTGTGTCCCTGAGTAACAATTCTGTGGCCCTAAGTAACAGTTCTGTGGCCCTCAGTAACAATTCTGTGTCCCTGAGTACACCCTGAGTAACAATTCTGTGGCCCTAAGTAACGGGTTCTGTGGCCCTCAGTAACAATTCTGTGTCCCTGAGTAACAATTCTGTGGCCCTAAGTAACGGTTTGTGCCCTCAGTAACAATTCTGTGTCCCTCAGTTACAATTCTGTGTCTGTCCCTGAGTAACAATTACGGGTTGTGGCCCTCAGTAACGGTTATGTGGCCCTCAGTAACAATTCTGTCTGTCCCTGAAACAATTATGTGGCCCTAAGTAACGGTTAGGTGGCCCTCAGTAACAATTCTGTGTCCCCACCCCTGTCCCTGAGTAACGTTTCTGTGGCCCTAAGTAACGGTTCTGTGGCCCTCAGTAACAATTCTGTGTCCCTGAGTAACAATTCTGTGTCCCTGAGTAACAATTCTGTGTCCCCTGAGTAACAATTCTGTGGCCCTAAGTAACGGTTCTGTCCCTCAGTAACAATTCTGTGTCCCTGAGTAACGTTTCTGTGGCCCTAAGTAACAATTCTGTGGCCCTCAGTAACAATTCTGTGTCTGTCCCTGAGTAACAATTCTGTGTCTGCCCTGAGTAACAATTCTGTGGCCCTAAGTAACAATTCTCTGTGGCACTCAGTAACAATTCTGTCTGTCCCTGAGTAACAATTCTGTGGCCCTAACTAACGTTTCTGTGGCCCTCAGTAACAGTTCTGTGGCCCACAGTAACAATTCTGTGTCCCTGAGTAACGTTTCTGTGGCCCTAAGTAACAGTTCTGTGGCCCTCAGTAACAATTCTGTGTCTGTCCCTGAGTAACAATTCTGTGGCCCTAACTAACGTTTCTGTGGCCCTAAGTAACATTCTCTGGCACTCAGTAACAATTCTGTCTGTCCCTGAGTAACAATTCTGTGGCCCTAACTAGCGTTTCTTTGGCCCTAAGTAACGATTCTGTGGCCCTCATTAACAATTATGTGTCCCTGAGTAATGCTTCTCTGTCCCTAAGTAACGTTTCTCTGTCCCCAAGTAACGTTTCTGTGGCCCTAACTCTGTCCCTAATACAGAGCGGTCTGCCTCTCTTGAATGACTGGAGGCAAATGATGAATTCTAAAATGGCCGCTATTTATAGCTCGACCATTACACAGTGCTGGCTGGCTGGCTGGCTGATTGGCTAATGCGATCACATGTCATTAAGGAATGCATTATGGGTCAGCGCGCCTTGTCTGCGCGCCTTCCCACCAGACATCCCCGCTCCGTTGCCGCACATGTCCGCCGCCATTTTAGGAAAAATTTCGATTCGCGCGTCCGAAGTAGGCTATATTTTCGGATTCGGCGCGAATCGAAAATTTTCCAATATTCGACTCGAATTCCCACTTCGCCTACTTCGATTCGCTCATCTCTAAATGCAATGTAACAAGAATTATATGCTTATTTGCCATTTAATTTTAGATTCATCATACCATTTACATTGAAAGACGTAAACTATGTTTAAATACAATAACACAACACAAACATTTACTTATTTAAATCGTTTTTTTGTCAGAAAGTAATTTTACTACTGCAAAATCCAAATCCAAACCTAATATTCAATATATAATACTATAGACTGCATATTGTGGCAGAAGACCAATAAAAAAATTTGGGCTGTGTTTTTAACAGTAAGTTTATACTGTATGTTACAAATGCCTACAGTTTGCTGAATATTTTTCTTTTTTCGATTGGGAGAGCTGAAGTTGTTTGGGCTGGCTGATTAGACAATGTTGAGGGAGAATTGGTGCTGTACATAGTCTTCTACATAGTGTATATAGTTTTGTTCTAATAAATTGTCTTTTAAATGAGCCATTTATTTGCAATACAATTAACTTTGATTTTTTTTTTTTATTAAAGTGACAGATGATGTGAATCTCTAGTTTCAAAAGGGTAGATTGATGTTCAGCTGTACAGTATGTTACATCTCATAGCCTCATGTTGGGCACCAGTCAGTGGGACTTGGAAGTTCACCTAGCAACACATGTAGCACTACATAAAACATTTAACAACTTCCCACCTGGCCTACTGTAATAAAACAGCCAGGCAGGTGCTCTGTTATCGTGGGTGGACATTCCTCATTCGCGCCCTAGTGGCCACGCAGCAGCGTGATCTGTAGCCTTCTGTGATCACTGGACACAGCAGAACACAAATTATACTGGGCTTCTATGCCCCGCACTGGTACCATGTAATTGCTGCGACCAATCACAACGATCACATGTCAGTTGTAAACAATGGCTATTGTTTACT